ACGCGCTTAAAATTATTTGCCCACTACTGTAGTTACATAGAATTCGTACAAAATATCAACACATCCTTACTTTGTGTCCACACACAAAATATCTATATATTTTTAAGTTCAATGCTCCTTGCTAACGCTAAGCGTGTTTCGTATTAATAATTTATTTTTTTTTTTATTAATAAATATGGCGGTTTGTTGTCATTTATTTCGCTGACATGGCAAATATTTATTAAACATATATGTAATTTTTTTAAAACAACATGCATATATACATACCTACGTCAATGGATGTTATTAAATTAATAGTAAATTTACTTAGGAGATATTCCTAAAAATATACACAATCAACTGTAATTAGTTTTCAGCGAAATGCTGATCTGGTTAAAGGGACTTCTGTTACTTTGATAGTTTGTAGCCTAGAGTGCAAGGCTACAAATTTAGAATACTCGCTGAAAGTTTTATTGAATACAAAACTCTCCACTTCCCAGTTTTCTAGAAAGGGTTGTAAGCAGGGCTGCACTGAAATAGTATCAAGGGCACTCAAAGCTTTAAACCATTCAAAACAGCCAACGGTGATGGAGTCTTTTCTGTTCAGTTCTAAAACAAGTCGAAATTTCTAGCATAAAGACTGGCCTAGGTGTACACAGCCTGCATCCGATTCGCGTACCCGCCGAACAGTTGACAAACGTCCGGGTCAAATTCAACCCGAAGCCTGGTAAGACCAATTAGTCCTACATATTTTAAGTTGAAAAGCATGGATAGGATTTGGAAGGATTAGTTAATAGCAAATCAGTTAATATCGCTCCGCACGAGGTCGTGGGTGCAATTGGAAAATCCATAAATGAACGCGACTTTTACAACATTGCAACATTATTCTCATCAATTTCTTCTGGTTGATACCAAAGCTTACTTGAATAAGTTTAAATTACCCACGAAATCACATATGACTCTCTACAAGGAAGTATTCCACCTCCACTATGTTGGATTACACTGAGAAACCAACTTATCTGCATGTATCTGCAGTGGTCTGCCTCTTCGAGGTAGAGAAAATTCAACAATTTAACCCACCCACCGTTTTTAAAGTCTAAAATCATAGCACTTTCCGAATTTGATAAAGTATATCGGAATTATTTTTGATAAAAAAAGACTTTGCTCGTGGAAACTTATTAACAGCAGTACCAGTAAAGCGTTCAAAAATGGCGCCTGACACCCCAAACGGTCCATTAGCTTTACACAAATGTCGTAAGACCTTTATTAGCTTATGAACCGCTAGTCTGGTGGTCGACTCTAAAGCAGAAGTAGCAATTCAAGAATGGGTGCTACGTTCAGCTTCACTAGGTGTAGTACGCGCTCAGAAAGCTACCTTAAGAAAGGCACTAGAAGCTCTGTGTATAACAACTAGATTTAATTAGATTAAGTTTGATTCAAATTAGGGTGAACTGTAATATATTTATTAAATCGTACATATAGTACGATCATGAGAAGTATGTGCTGAACTATTTACAATTTTCGAAGTATAACTTCTTTGATCCAAAAAGCATGCAATGATTTTGTAAATAACTACAGTTGCTACTAAATTAATGAAATTTTATGTGATTGGAAGAGGAGCTGGGTCGAAAATAGCTTTGCTGGTTACAAAGCAGCAATTATATTTCTTCTCATAAATTTGAGGCATCATTTCTTAACAAGCGCCGGATTAGTGGAAAAAACTGGTGAAGATTTACGGAGCAGTTACGTAGTAGTAGAGAGTGTGATCGTGAGAGACGAACGTTGAGATGGGAGATAATTACGTTGGTAGAAACAGATAATCGTTTCAGCAGTAACAAAGCGCCAAATTATTATTGATAAGAGACAGAAAGAGAGTCAGAATGAAGTTCACTCATTTTGACAGGAAATTTCAATGTCAAATTTGATTCAATGGATGGCCACCTCCTGCAAGATAAATTAGAATATTGAATGCCTAACAATGTAAGTGAACCTACCACGACATGGAATCAACGCAATCTTCTGCAGATATGTCAGAATATCCGTCTGTTCTTCCATCCGTCTGTATGTACGCAAACTATTCTCCCATTTTTTGAAATATTTCCTCCATATTTAGTACACAATTGCAGATATTACGTTCAAAAAATCATTTGCTGGAAACAGTTGGATCTATAGCATATAGAGGAGCGGGTTTTAATTTTTTTTCAGTAATCTGTATAAACATGAAGAATGACTTATTGGTGTTGAAAATTATCGAAATCGGATGACTTTAATATATAGATGCCATATGAATTTTTTGGAAAAAGGGTTTTAGGATCAAAACTCCGAACAAAAAAGCACCGAAGAGTCTGAGATTTGATCTTATACAATCGTATATATCAATAAAGATTTTCACCGTCATATATTTCATACAGTCCCCATACAACTAAAACTTTCGCAATATGATAATTCATATTAGGTCCAGTAAAGAGTTCGTTCGGTTTTTATCTATGAGATGACGTTGTTGTCCATAATACTAGTGTTAGGTGTCGCATCATGTCATACTATAGGACGCTGAAAATGTCTATATTCGCGCTAAAAGTTTCCCTTTGATGGTTTTTCGATTGATTGAGTCAGTACTTTGTGGGCGCTCGTCAAAGATGGACACCAGCAAAGAGAAAATTCGCTAAATTTTACAATTTTTCTTCAAGCAAGACGAAAAAGCAGCCAAAGCGGCCGAAAAAATTAATTTAGTTTATGGTCTCGATACTGTTAGCGAACGGTTGCACGAAAGTTGTTTGTTAGGTTCCGTTTCGGGAATTTCGTTGTCAAAGATGTGCTAGGTTTTGCCGTGTGCTTGGTGGGATTGGCAAGGAATCATCTACTACGACCTGCTCGGATGAGAGGATCTAATGTACCCACCTTATAGTCCGGACCTGGCTCCAAGTGACTACCATCTTTTCCTGTCCATGGCGAACGCGCTTAATGGTGAGAAGTTGGCCTCAAGAGAGGCCTGTGAAAATTGGCTCTCCGAGGTTTTTGCCCATAGGGAATATAGCAATAATAGCATCTAGGTGGCAACGAGTTTACGAACAAAACGGTGCATATTTGACTTAAATCGAACAAATATGCACAAAGTTACCATAGTTTGGAAAATAATTTAAAAAAACGAACGAACCTTTTACTTGGCCAATAGATAATCCTGAAATTAAATATCATAAAATTCTTATGGTCAGAAGAGACAGAGAGACTTTAGCATTGTCGAAAACAGCACTTTTTTGTGTTCATTAATATTTCGTTTGTTGAACAAGCAACAACACTGTGTCCACGCAGACCGAAAATTTTCGCGATTCGGAGCACCGCGCTGTGATTGAATTCCTTGTTCAAAAAAAAGTACGTCGAAAGATATTTTTAAAGAGATGGATATTCATGACTTTTCCCCTGTAAATTTGATGGTGAAAAAATTGGCTCTGCCGTTTCAACAAGGAAGAGAGAACTGTGAATATGACCACCGCCCTGGGCGCCCAGTGACGGATGGGACCGAAGAAAATGCTCAGAAAATCGAAAAATTAGTACTGACTGATCAAAAATTAAATTTCGGCAGATAACAGAAGATGGCTGGACAGACTTTGCTTGAACATTTGAATACGAAAAAAATTTGTGCACATTGGGTACCGCGAATGTTCATGCTGCGAATGCTCACGCCGCTCGACAAGCAGCCACAAATGAAGAGTTGTAAAAGTTTTTTTAGAGTTGTGCCAAGAAAATTTGGATGATTTGTTTGAAATTTACAACAGCATTATAACAGATGATGGAGCAGAAGTCGAAGCAGTGAATAAAAAATGGAAAAAGCCATCAAAAAAATTCAAAGTGCAAAAGTCGACGTCGAAGATTATGGCTACCAACTGATGGGATAGCGATGGAGTATTATTTATTTATTACTCGTCAAAGGGAACTAAAATAAGCGGCCAGTATTATGCTATTTGGTTCAGTCAGGCGCGCTTTACGCAACGTAAAGAAGAGACGTTCCTTCAAGACAATGCACCCGTTCATACAGCTCGGGTTGTGAGGGATGCCTTAAAAGCTGCTGGATTCACAGAAATTGAACATCCGCCCTACAGGCCGAACCTGGCTCCCAGGGACTTTATCTTTTTTTTTTTTTTTGTTTAAATTTCAAAAAAAAAAGTTACGGAGACAAAGACTTTTAGACGACAGTAAGATGAAAACGGCTGTAAAAACCAACATAGAACACCGATCTTAGCAGTATAACATTAAGGCAAAGCATGTTACCAAGAATGTTTTTAAAGCCGTGGAGACGTTTTTGATCAGATGTAAGATCAGATCCTATTACTATCCAGAACCTTTAAGCATAACTTGAAAGGGAAATTCTGACGACACTATACCAAAATAAAACACAGCATACAGTATGGCTGTTGGGATTGATACCATCAATGTCCGAAAGTATAGCGAGAGTTCTCAAGAATAACGACGGTTATTCAGGGTATTAACCAATTTTCAACTTATTTAGAACAATGAACTTGTCGCGTCGCGAGTTCGGTGAACATTTTATTTCACGTTCGGAACTGGTCAGTTGGCCGCCTAAATTATGTGATTTAACGCCTTTAGACTATTTTTTATGGGGCATTGGAGGACAACATTGAAGCATTTATTCGTGAAATGTTTGAAAGAGTAATTGTACTAAGCGTAGGGACCATTTGAGGCGCAGTCACGCTCAACATTTGCATGAAATAATAAAGATTAAATTATATGGACCGTGATGTCGATTCAAATAGAGATTTCCTGCTATTTTCTCAATTTTATGTTTTTTTTTTTAAATTTTCCTATAGCTCTTCAAAAATCACCCTTTATTTAGGTAAAAGGAAAAATCTTTGAAGTAATTTGGTAAAAGTGGAAAGACAAGCGCACCTATAACTTTGTCCAGCTGTGTACATATTTATACATAAACTCATTAAGCATTCCTTCAGTGCATACGAAAACAGCGACTCCTGAACTGACGTAACCCTAACACTTTGAAATGAACTTACCTGTTGCTGGCCGTGCATTATTTCGCACGTAACCATTGTTGGTGGTCCAAATACGATGATTCTCATACGGCCCGTCCATAGCGAAGACCAAACAGGCATATTCAAGTCAAGCACTCAAATGCAGTGCGGGAAAGCGAAAATATCAAGCATTTAAAACATGCCGCCCATATGTACGTCACGGTTCCTACTTACGGAAAACGAAGGCACAGCATATTTTCTTCACACGCTCTAGAATTCAGACGCTAAATGCCGTTATTAGCTGGTAGCACGCATATGTAGGTAAGAAGAACTTTCGCACTTAGTGGAAACAAATGAAAACGAAAACGAAAACTTTTCGGTTTACCAAAAAATCACAAGACTCAATTGGCTGAGCACGTAAGAAACACATTTCCACAGTTTATTGTTGTTGTGCAGCAGTTGTTTATACACGACTTTCGAAGTTAGAAATTTTTAATTACTCGTTTTCTTTTTGGTAATGCTTGCTTTATTAATATCTTTTTTTTTTTTTGTATTTTATAGTCAACACTTGAATTCTGCTAAAACTAAAACTAAACTCTTGATTAACCCAGTCAAAGTGTTAAGCCCTTAAAGGGAAAGTTATAAAATATTATTATATTTATTGATTTTGCCATTTTCTTTTTATGGGACACAATGCCATTTGTTTAAAAATACTTCACACACACACACACACACACATTCCACACCGTGTCCTCGTTGATATTCAAATGCGGCGCAGTAGACATCAAGCGAGACACCAGAACTTGTAGACAGTCGTGCAACGTACTAAACAACGTCTAAACACATTTGGCTAGACAGTCTGCAATTGAATTGAACAGATTCACCGAGGGTCCTGGCAACGCGCCGAGCCCTACGAGTGACGGCGCGAATTTAATCGAAACACCGGTCGGCCAGGCGTATTTATGAACGAGAAATGCAGGCAATAGAGTGGGTCTGTAGCGACTATAGTAATGATTACGGTTTAGTGCTGGGTGCGGTGCGGTGGTCGTGACACACGTTCAACACCTGTCTCGCTGGCTGTGGGGTGGAGGCGAAGGACTTGTGTATGGAGTAGTGTGCCATTCCACCGCCCAACCACAATAATAGATAGGTTTCACTTTTGTGCGCGTGCCGTAGAGCGAAGAGGAAACGAAAGAAATCAGTTCATTCATTATTCCATATCTGCGCGTTGGCATGCAAATGTGACCGGTAATAATGATAATTACAAGGAAATATAAACAAACACTTGCACAAAAACAACAAAAGAAGCCTTCTTACACATACAAGTGCATGTAAGGGGAAGTACATGTGTTGAGGGTATTCACACAACCATCGAACAGGAACTTGGATGAGTTTTTGAACATAAAATGATCACAAATGACCACCGGATGAATTCTATTTAATTTAATGCTCAAAGAGAATCCTTTGTAAATCATCAACGCTTATCACTTTCTCTTTGATTTCAGAATTCATAAGGACCTTCATTTAGGAAAATAAGCTCTAATATTTGAAATTATTATTATGAAAAATTATTTAAACATATTTTTTATAATATTTTTTTTTTTCAAATGAAAGCCATAAGTCCCTTCGTTCCTCTCTTAAAGGCAATTGGCTTTCCACCCAATCCTTCCAACAAAGCTGACATCTCCCTCTTCCTCTACTCTCACCGACCGGTGATGCATCGTATACTTTCAAAGCTGGAGCACTTTCATCTAATTGAACAAAATGACCCAGCGAATGCTTTCGCTTTGCCTTTATGCCCTAACTCAGCTCAATGTCGCCGTACACTCGATATTTCTACAGCTCATCGTACCATCGGCTGCGGCGTTCACCGTTGCCCTTCTCTTGGAAAGTCCCAATAACGACTTATCGATTGCTCCATATAGTTTTTTCGTTTTATATCCAAATTTAAATTAGTCTATTGTCTGATCCGTCCAAAGTAGCCCCTGTTGGCAAGAGTGTTTCTTTATATAATGTCAGTGCTGACATTGCCCATGGCTTTGATGATGGTTCGAAAATTTCTGGAATTCAAAGTTCTGACTGTCAGCAAACGACGTGAGATTTAAGACGGAAACTGCTGGTCTGATGGCGGAAGATATTGCCTCTTTTCTTTGTTTACGATCGAACTCATTCACATTTTATTGGTGAAATCATGAGGAAACTGAACTAACTTAAGCTATCGAAGGCCAATTTGAAATCGATTGGTATTTTCTGAATTTTTTGTTTTATTTTTCTGTATTTGTTTTGAGCATAGCAATTGTTTGTAGCCATACTGATAATTTTAAGTCAGTTCTTTGACGGTGGGATTAAGTTTTTTAGATACTTCGCTCATTGAAATCTCATGTTAGGTATTGAGGAGGCGCGCAGAAAACCAAGCTGGGCACAGAAATACTATCCGAGCCGAGAGTAAAGATGGTCGTCCGGCGTGCCATATTCGTTTTCGGTATTTGAACAGCTCAATCGGTGAGTCTTCCGCTGCCGCCGCTTTGTAATTCTTTAAATGTGAGAACTTGGAAACACGCACCATTTCTTGAGTGTTGCACTTTCCTTGACATTCAGCAGGATGGAGATGTATGCTCTGGGCAACGGAAACAGGATCACTAACCTTGGTTCCTACATGAGTATTGCTCCTGTCCTTCTGTAGTCCAGGGATCTCTTCAGAATATTTTGGAGTATTATTTCTCTCGTTCAGCTTATCGAACACTTCGTATTGATAGTGTCTGCGAATGCGCTGTGTTATCCGCTTCAGCTGAAAATAATGCGGTTCTACGTCTCGAGTAGCTGACGAGTGTTCTCAAAGCTTAAGCATACTTACAATATTATTTCCAGATCTTAAGACAAAACGAAAGAGCTTTTTCGTACTTAAAGCCCAAATGATATTAAGGGACTAATGGTCCCCCTCATCTTTCTCTTCCTCTCCTTACACTAGCGGTTACTACATCGACGGACGATCAGCATAACCGCTGTCTCTTCATTTGCTGTACTATGTCATTATCATCCTAAAGCCGACTCATCAGATGTAGAAGGGCGGTTATGATTAGCGACTTGTTGAGTTTGGTTTTTGTTCGTCGAGAGAGGACTTTACTTTTCAATTATCTACTCGGTCGATAGAAGCACTTGTTAGGAAGAATAATTATGCGCTGGATTTCTAGACTGACATTATTATTGGTGTTGGTCACTATCTGGTTATGACTGTCGGCAGTGACGCGAATGCGAGGACTGTTTGCTTCATGCCAAAGGTATATCGTTTTTACATCGATCACTACCAGACCCTTTCGTTAATAGATTGTACCTTCCCTATTTAGTTCTGCATCTCTTGGTTTTTTACCTAACCTTACAAAAAAAGTCCAACGGTATCGAAATATCCAATCTCGGCGGCAAATTATCCTCGCAATAAATCTATATTCGCAAGTGTTTATGTGGTGTGTGGCACCAACTTGTTGAAAGCACGTAATGTTAATGTCGAGTTCTTCAATTGAAACTCAAAAGGTATGAGTCCAAGTGCGAAATTCGCCGTAATGTGATGCAAGAAAGTCCCACCTCTTGATATCGTCGAGAAAAAATTTGGCCTTCGGCTATACTTTCTTCCACAGGCCTTACAATATCCCTTGTCGATTCAGTCTCTTCAAATTTTCTTAAAATTTTACCAATTATTTGTGTAGTTGGACGATTATGTGCATCTTAATCTCCTCTTAAAGCACAAAAATATGCCATGTTTGAATCACCGTTTCTCCAATATTACCGTTATTTGCTTATTTTCTAAAATGAGTAAGTGGTAATGTGGGGGTACGCATATGAGTGTACATTTGTTTACCTCCAGTTGGGGGGGTAAGTAAAGAAAAATCAAATATGTGTTGATATAAAACTATTTCCTTTATTGATTTCTTTGTCATCCCTCAAAAGGAGTGCATATGTATGTGCTACGTGTATTTATTTCTTGAAGGTAAATACGCACACTTGATCAAGGGTTATATGTATGTACGTCGAAAGCAATAAAAAGATCGAAATATGTACATACACATATAATTAAAGATTGAAGCCTATGAGTTTGGCGCATGATTACCTCAATTATAATTGGTATCCATGAAGAAATTGTCACATAATTTATTTCTAAAGTAAATGAACTTGAGATTCACATGTGACCTTTTAACTCACATGTGCCGTTATTTTTAATACGTACATACAAATCGAGAACGGAAAGTTATAATTTATTAATTAATGAGTGGCAATGAACCTCAAAAACAATATTTCTTTTGAGGAAGAGACTAATAATAAATACATAGATACAAATGATTTATTTGCCACCAAATCGGTCATTAATTTTTTTACGTCAATGAACCTGCTACCAGAAGGATACAAACAGTGCTGTTGCTCTTTCTCAATGTTTTCCGGGTGTAATTAGCAAATTTTCTTATGCTTTTATTATAGACCCCAACTGTAACATAATAGACAGGTCCAACGAGATTGATATGTGTTGACATGTACAATTTTATGTATTTTGGTTTATTATAAAAATTTTCCTTTAAATTTTTTCTTTTTTTTTTAATTTTTCCAAATGCAAGAAATCTACAACTACAAGTATTAATATTGGTTATAAATATAAGAAAATATGTAAGTAAGTGTACGTAAGTTTAATAAAAATTCATTTGTTCGAAATCAGCCAAATAATCATATCTCCAGCAGCATAATCAAAGCCTATTAAGTTTCAAAACGCACTTGCAAGTTGATGGTAATTTTAGAAGTTCTTCCTTCAGTTCACCATTCACAACTACGACTGCGGTTCGAAAGATATAGCGTTGGACACAAGTTGCCGTATAGCCAAGAGGAAAGATGTCAGCAAATTTACAAGAACCACTCTCATTTCTGCAAAAAAAAAAATGAGAATTAGAAAAAATTAAATAATATAATATAAATTAAATTATAAGAAAACTCATAAACTAGAAAAAATAACAATAAATAATTAAAATAAAATAATATATAGAAAAAATATTGAAAACAGATCCTAAATTAAAACTAATGAATTAAGGAATAAGAACATAAAATAAGTAATATTAAATAAAATTATATTGATCTAAATAAAACTAAAATTAAATATAAAACTAACCTGAACTAAAATAAACTAAAAAAAAAAAAATAAATAAAAAATAAAAATCAAATAAAATGAAATTACTAATGTAGAATAGATAGATATAATAAAAGAAAACAGCTTGAATTAGAGAAAAAAGAATTAAAAAATAAAATGAAATAAAAGGAACTAAGTTCAAATAAATGAATAAAAAAATGTCACAAAATAAATTAAATAGAATAACACAAAATAAAATGAAATAAGCTCAAAGAGAATCAAATAAAATAAAACAAAATAAGATAAATTAAGTAAAATAAAATAAGTTAAATAAAAACCCAATTAAATTAAAATAATTAACTTAACATAAAAAGAATAAAAAAAACACAATAAAATACAAAAACTAAATTATCAGGTGTACAACTTTGCTTCCGCCGTTTTCCGATAGGTGGCTGTACCGGCTGAGGCTGGTTGAAATACATAGATGATAATGCCTTTAAAGTGAGTGTGGACAGTGCCTAACGAATTGTCATCGCCGTTTCAGTGACAGTTGTTCTTGTTTTCGTATTATTCACGCTCGAAAATGTCCGTTTATGTGCCTAATTCTCGCCATTTGCGGGAAGTTTTACTTTTCTGTTACAATTCGAAAAAAAATGCAGCTGAAGCGCATCGAATGCTCTCAGAAACTTACGGTAATGCTGCTCTGAGTGAAAAAAAACGTGTCGGGAGTTGTTTCAACGTTTTAAAAATAGTGATTTCGATGTCGAAGACAAACATTGTGGTTCTGATTTGTATTTGGTGGGATCAGCGGCCACAATATCAAGAGCGGCATGACAGAGTCATCCTCCAACACGACAATGCTCGGCCTCACGTCGCAAAAGTGGTCAAAAAGAACCTGGAAATGCTGAAATGGGTAGGCTTACCCTACCCGCCGTACTCCCCAGATGTCGCCCCTTCTGACTTCTACCTAATCCGTTCGATGACACTCGGCCTGGCAGATCAACATTTTCAATCCTTCGAAGAATTGGAAAAGAGGATTGCTTCATGGATAGCGTCAAAAGGGGACTCCTTTTTTCGAGCCGGGATCCGAAAATTGCCGGAGTAATTTGAGTAATATATCTGTAAGTATTTTTTCGCAATGAAGCTTTTAATTTTGGAAAAAAAACGGCGGAAGCAAAGTTGTACACCTGATAACTTAAAAAAAGAATTAAATACAACACAATAAAATAAAATTATTTAAACGAAATCAAAAAAGTCAAATCAAGTAAATCAAAATATTATAAAATAAAAACAGATAAAATAACACACACAAACAATTAAATAAAATAAATAAAAAACACAAAACAAAAATAAAATATACTGAAATTAATAACTAATAAAATAACACTAAATTAAAACGAATTAACCTCAGTTAATTCAATTTATAACAATATTAAACAATTATGATAATTAAATAAAATATATATAAAAAAATAAAAATATATGCAATAAAGTATAGAATTTAAATTAACAAAAAAAAAATAAATGGAACACAGTAAAATACAAATACTAAATTAACTTAAAAAAGAATTAAATACAGCACAATAAAATAATTTAAATTAAAATAATAAAAATAATATCTAAAGAAACAAATTAATAAAAAATAAAATAATACACAAAATGAAATATAAATAAACAAAAAACTTAAAATACAAAACAATAATTAAATAAAATCAATTAAATGATATTAAATTAAAATGAAGTGAACTCAGTTACTAGAAATTAAAACAATATTAAAATAAAATTAGTTAAATAAATTAAATGACATTACAAGTAATAAACACAGTAAAATACAAAAATAAACAAACCAAAATAAAATTAAAAATATTAAATTAATTAATTCATATAAATCAAATTAACAAAATAATTTAATAAATTCTAATAAAAAACTTATATAATAAAACAAAGCAAAGTAAAAAATACTAAAAAATAAAATTATTTTAGTTTAATTATTTTTTTATGTTTAATGTAAACTAAAATAAAACTAAAAAAAACTATTGTTGTAATTTTTTCATTATTCCAAAAAATATATGGTCTGAAACAGTTCCATAAAAAACACAAGAAAAATTAAATAAGAACTATTTAAGTAATTTAAAATTACATAAAGAAAATAAAAATTAAATATAATCTTTATAAAAAGGAAATAACACAGCGCAATGAAAAATAATAAAATAAAATGAATCAAACTAATTTAACTAATATGAAATGAAATCATAAAGATCAATAAAAAACGATATAAGTCAAAATAAAATCAAAAAGATTAAATTAACATGAAAGAAATTAAATTAAGTAAAAAACAATAAATTACAACAAAACAAAACTAAAACAACTAATTTTATTTAATTAAAATAAATTAAGCCAAGTTAGTTGGAGCAAAAGTAAATTAAAGTAGAAAAAAATAAGTTAAAAAAAAACTAAAATAAAATAAATGGATTAAAGAATAGAAAGACCAAATAAAGTTAATTAAATTTTAAGGGAAATAAAATATAATGAAATGAAATAAAGTAGAATAAAATATTGCAAAAGTATTTAAAATAAATAAAATAATACATTTTAAATTAAATTCAATTAAAATAAAATCAAATAACAGAAACTAAAACCAAATAAAACACATTTATCAAATAAAGATAAACAAAAATATTATTAAATACAATACATAAAAAAATATGTGATAAAAAGCTATAATAAATAAAATAAAATAATATTAAAATAAAATAAAATAATATTTAAATAAAATAAAAATAAAATAAATTAGTTTAAACTGAAACAAAACTTGAATTAAATAAAATGAATTAAAAAACAAAATTAAATAACTTGAATTGAACTAAATTAAAATAATAACTAATAAAATTAGAAAAATTAAACAAATTTATCTAAAGCATTAAAATAAATTATTATTGGCATAGAAATATTTAAAAAAAATTTAACAAACAAATTGCTTTGAGCAACTGGAATGAAATAAAATTCAAATATAACAAAGTAAAGGGAAAATCAAAAAAAAAAAAAAATAAAGTAATTAAAGTAACATTGATACTTAACTGAAACAGAATTATATAAAATCAAGTAAATTAAAAGAACTTAAACAAAAATGCCAAAAAATACAAACAATTAAACACAAATAAAAGAAAACCAAATTAAACTAAAAATTTCAATAAAAGAAAATAATATACAAATGATTTAAAGGTTAATAAATTTAAGTAATACAAATACAAATAAATTAAACTAAATTCTACATGAAAAGCTTAAACAATGAAAAATAAAATAGACTTATATAGATTTAACTAAATTAACAAACAAAATGCCATATAAAAAAATAAAAAGGGCAAAAATATAAATAAAAAATAAACAATTCAGAAAAAAATTGTTTTTAAATATAAATAACATATTAATGAAGTAATTAAAATAAGATAACGTGCGATAAAACAAATTAAAATGAAATAAGGTATTATTAAATAAAATTAAATGCAAATAAAATAAAATGAAATAAAAGTAATATAAATCAAATTGTGTAAGCTAAATATAAAATAATTTAATAAAATGTGAAAATAAAACAAAAGGAGCAAATAAATTTTTTTTGCTATTAAGAAAAAATTAAAATTAAATAATAACAATACATTGGATTTGATCAAAAGTAAAAATTTTAAATTAAAAAAAAAATTTTTTGAAGTTTCTTTAATTAAATTCAATTAAATATAATGAACGAAAAACAATAATATAAAGTTGCAGTGAATTAAATTAAATAGCACAACAACAAAATAACGTCAACTTGCACTTACTCGCAAACCTCCACCCTAAATCCTTGTTTATGTTCACCATTTTGCACCACCGTTACAAATTCTCCGTCCTTAGATTGTGCGCTCATTGGATATATGAGTTTTGTAGTTGAGTGACAAAGTTCCTCTTCGTCGGTACTAAATGCTTGTGTTCTATTCGCTGGTTCAAAATAATCATCTTTAAAATTAAGTTTAAATTTATCCAAAGCAACCGTATCCAGTTGTGTTTGGTCATCATCTGGAAAATTCATGATTTTTAATTAATTATTTTAAATATAATTTAAAGATATTTTTTTTTTAATTTTTTCTTCAAGTACCGTTACTTGTTTCGGTTTTATCAGTTAAGTCGGCATTATTACTGTCATTACTGTTTGCGGGAATAGCGAGTGTGCATGTCAGCTCCATTGTCTGTGAAAAAAAGATAACAAATTAATTAAGTACTTTTTTTAACAATTTTATACATACATACATTTTTGCAAGTCAGTTTTATGCATGCTTGTGATCGATGTATTTTAGGATATTTAAGTATTTTGCTTCGTTAGTAATGAGATAAATGTATAAAATATATTATATTATATAAATTGTATACTACAGTGTTAATTCTCTCCCATAATAACGGTAATGACGTAAGATTTTTTTTCGGTTGCTTTAAACACACTGTCTCCAGTGATTTCACAAGAAGAAATTTTTCGCTAGAAGCACTTTTCAGAACCTTTGCATGTGTTATACATATATATATATATATATATATATTATATAAAAGGCAAATTTCACTGATTTTATTTAGTATTTTAAGTATATATTCATTTCAAACCAGCTTAATACTTATTTGACTTAGAATATTTAATTGCATTAAAATTTATTTTAACTACAAAATTTCTGCTTTAATAAAGTGTCTAAGAGAAAAACTAAATAAAAAAATAATAATAAATAAATAAAATAAAAAATGTAATTTATTTTTTTTTATACATACAAACATTTAAATTTTTACATCGGTATTTGTAATATTATAATTTTTATACAATTTTTCAATTACTAAATAAACACTTATTTATGTTAGATACTTTTTACTCTTAGCTATTGGCACCTGGAATTAAATTAAAATTAATATAAATATATTCTACTTAATACAACAACAATTTTCATACATATAAAATCTTAAGAAGTTAAATTTAATAGCGTTTACATTTTTATGTTTTTATTTATTTTTGTCACACTTAACAAACTTTCAAGGCTCCAATCTGAGCTTTCCAATATGCAGTTGTTTATATATGTATATTTCGTGTGCATGTGTGTGCATAGTAATTACATTAGTCCATTTCAGTTTCAAGAAAATAGTGTATTTCGCACGGCACATTTACAGCAATTCGGCATTTTCACTTGCTCCTCACGCATTTTGCCATCCACGACCACAACAACCGTACGATACACGTAATTCTGTTTGCAGCGCGTTTGATATGATTTTGGTAAGGAGTCAAAATAACGGCAAGGCTTCTCCTCTTCGCTGTATATAAAAAAATAATTTAATTAATAAAATTAGTAGGGATTTTTTTAAACAAAAATCGAACCATTTAATTTCCATGTGAATTCATATTTACAAAAATTATTGTATTTCAATTATTAATAATTTTCTAATTATTTAAGAATGTTCATCACACCGCAAGTGGGTTTTTAGCAGAAGTTGTTAGTGTAATATCAGAAACATAACTTTCTTCATCTTTTTCTATTGATGTAGACATCGCTCGGGGCGTAATGCTATGTAGTCAAGCTTCTGGGTATGCAGTTACAGCCGCGGGACTATACTCAATTCCTACTATTGCGCCCACCTCGCGCACCCTGGAAACGTGAGCAACCCTTATGCAGGTAACCAACCTATGTGGAGCCTTGGCTCCCAGCTAAAAGAGAGCAAGCTTCAATAAAGCCACTCCGATTTATTCGGTTTAAGGATTCGCTAAAGTCTAAATGCAGCATCTGTTCAACAGAGCTGCAGCTGCGAGCGGGCGACGGTATTCAGGTAAGCGACCCGCTAAATATAAATGTGCAAAACATATCAATTTACTCGCCTAGCGAGGTTTAGGACCCGCAACTTAGAGACCGGCTCCAATTAAGAGGTATACAAAGCTACGTTTGAGATATTCCACCGAAAACAAACTAAGTACTACGATTTTGGGCTATGCACCGTGAATGTCCGGTACCTAGCCAGCTGGTTGAAGTCCTCACTTATGGAAGGTACAAGTACGGAAGCGAGTAAATCCCTGTGACATTTACTAAAGCGGCCATATAAAGAAGCGAGAATTTGGCGTCGGATTCGTGGTGCTAGAGGGACTATGTAGTCGGGTACAGGCACCCGTGGATGAACGTCTCGCCACAATCCACATCAAACGAAATACTTTTACTTATCGTTCATTTGTGCACACGCTCCGGTGAACGAAGAACGAAGATTTGGCCTAAGATGCCTTTTATGAGCGCCTGGAGTATACTTATGAGCGCTACCCCGGCTACTAAGTGAAAATCTTGCTTGACGATTTTAATGCCAGGATGGACAAAGAAGGTATCCTTGGTATGACTGTCAGAAAATTTAGCCTCTACAACTGAACATCCCCTAATGGTTTCGAGCTAATTGACGTCGCCTGGGATCGAAATGTGGCTGCCAAATTCTGTAGTCCTAAATTCCAGCACAAGAAAACAAATCAAGCTACTTGACGTGCGTACACTTTGAGGAGCCGACATCGATTCGAACCCACTATCTTGTTGCAGCGAAGATTCGCCTCTGTGTGTCAAAGAACTGCAAAGTTATGACTGTCAACAGTGACGTGGGAGCCGAGACTGTTTATTTGATGACAGGAGATCTTTCGCCTTAACGTCGTTCAGTATCAGACATATATCTTTCGTTTTCTTAAGCAGCCTGGAGAAGGTCACAGCGTGGTTGTTTAGGCCAATAATGTTCATAACAGCGGCTTAAGCCAGCAGTTGTACACTCTCATAGAAAATTGTACCTTTCATATTCAGCTCTACATTTCATATTATTTACCCCAGCAATAAATTAGAGAAGTCGCCCGATGAGGAGTTATTTGGCAGTGATGGTGGGAATGCAGATAGTGGGAAGGCAGATGGTGGGAAGGCAGACGGTGCGAATGCAGATGGTGGGATCGCCGTTTTTGTGGATTGGGCAGAGTACACTTCGGTTCCAATCGCAGTCTTTCATTGCTTCGACTATAAGCGCGTAAGCGGTGTCTATGTCAATGTATGTTAATGAAGAAGAAGAAGATACGTTGATGAGGTTTCAGCTATGTTTTTACTTCGATGTGTATTTCTACATGGAAATCGCATGGTTTGGGCCTTGGGAAAGTGCAGTTAACACAATGAACTTACTCGCATAGTTCTACTACGATACCCTGTTGATGGTTTGCATCTTGTACGAGCGTTACCCACTTTGATCCCTTCGCTTCGGCTGTCTTGGGATGTATCAAACGTGAACTGCTGGGGCATAGGTACTCCTCCAACGGTTCCGAGTTCATGCGTTGCGTTACGTTAATCGGTTGAAGATGATCATCCTTAAAATACGATTTGAATTGCTCAAAACTTTCCGGACTGATGTCGTCCAATCCCGCTAATTCAGCATAGTTCGGTACCTCCGTGCAATAGGGTTTACCCTCACGTCGTTCATTGCAGTAATAATCATCTACTAATAAAAAATCATTTTATAACAATTAATTGAATTTAAATTTATATTAATTATTGGCTTGAAATAATTTCCTAATTAGAATTATATCGATTTTAATTACCATCGGGAAAAATAATCGCATCATTTCTCTCATTAGAATTCTGTTGCGTTTTAGGGTTCTTTTGATTATGTGTGGGCGATGCGGCTGTTGTCGTCTGGAAAATGAGAAAATCGTTAAAAATCACGTTCAGTTTGCCGTCGGGTGATCTTTGCACTTTAAACATAACTTCATTATGTTGCGATTGCGATGTGTCCTAAAGATGAAGGAAATCAGAAATGAAAGAAAAGAAAACAAAACCAAGAACAGAAAGCGAAAGGTTGGCATAGAAATAGATAGATAGTAGAGTAGATAGCAAAAGAAAAAGAAAGCAAGCAGAAAATGCATTTATGAATAAAAAAAAATGAAGAAGCACAATGCACTTATGATCACTTACATTGAATAGCACAAGTCCCGTACCGTTACCCGTTTGGAATATATCACCCAATCTTGCGTCTAACTCCTCAGAGTCCTTCTCCAGCATCTGCCAGAATTTAAGCATAATTGTTTTTTTTTTAGTAAATTTTTCGAAATTTCCTATTTGTTTATTTCTAAATTTTTCTAACCTTTGTGCCTTGCGGCGAATGATGCCGATCTATACTTTCTTTAGGCGCACGTTTGTGTCGAGCCGTACGAAGATCGTAAGTTTTACCATCGATGGGGCTTACTGTCTGAAAGAGGTAACATACACAAATGTTTGGAAATTAGAAAAGACGACAAGAATTTTGTATACCAATTGGAAAGGAAGTGAAAAAGATTTTGTGTTTCTTTTCAAATAATTTAGTTCAGGTCTACTGGGAAGCAGGAGGGATTGAAGGGATTGAAGGAGGTTTTGTATTTTTGCCCTACACTTGATATTTATATTTGTATATCTATTTACAAAGAAAAAAAACTACATTATACACCATTTGAACTTGAGTTAGTTACAAAATAATTATCAATAGAAAACTGAATATTTCCTTCTGGATTTCTGAAAAAAATATAATAATTTTGTACTTATACATTTTTTAAGTACTTAACTAGGCTTGCTAAATTATTTACAATAAACATGTGAACACAAAAATTTTAAAATTATCAGAAATATGTTTTTGCTAACTTTATAACGGTAATATTCAAAGCAAACTTATATTAACCCTCATGTATTGGGTGTATGCATTAACTAGTTTTGTGGTTTTCTAAGAAAGGGCTATACTTGTATTATTTAGCGTCGTGTTCATCTGTGGCTATATACATTTCAAAGGTACTGTCAATTCGCGTCGTTTTCAGTAGTTGTCATTTGTTTTAGCCTGAACAACAATTTGTTTTATTCATTTGAAAAAGTCGAAGTTTGTACCAGATAAAGCGTTTTTCCAGGGAGTTCTTCTTCATTACTTTAACCTGAAGAAAAGTGCTACCGAAAGCCATCGCATTTTACTGGACGTTCATGGAGACCATGCTTTAGCCGAACGAACTTGCCAAAAGTAGTTTGCACGGTTTAAAAGTGGTAATTTCGACTGAGAACGGGCCGGACAGCCAGAAAAAATTTCAAGAGGAAGAATTGGAGACATTGGTCGACGCAGATGCATGCCAGAGGCAAGAAGAACTAGCAAAAGTATTAACAGTTGATCAAGCAACTGTTTCCAGATGATTGATATCATTAAAAATCCATCCAGAAGCTTGGAAATTGGGTGCCTTATGAATTACAGCCAAGAGAACGAACGTCTATTCTGCATGTCGGAAATGTTGCTTCAACGCCACCAAGAGAAAGCATTTTTGCATCGGATTGTCACTGGCGATGAAAAATGGATTCATAATTATAACCCAAAGCGTAAGAGATCGTATGTGAAGGCCGATCAACCATCGACATCCACGGCAGAGCCGAATATCAATGGTGCCATGGTTATGCTATGTATTTGGTGGGACCACAAGGGTGTTCTCTATTATGATCCATTGAAATCAGGTTAGACGATCAGCGCAGACCTCTACCGAAAACAATTGATTCCTTTGAAAAAGGCTATCGCGAAGGAACGATCAGAATATGAAACCAGATACGAATCAATAAGTTTTCATCATGACAACGCTCAACCACATGTTGCAAGGTCAGTTAAAACTATTTGGAAAACTGCTGGTGTGAAGTTCTACCTCACCTGCCTTATAGCCCAGACATAGCACCTTCCGATTATTATTGTTCAGATCAATGCAGAATGCCCTCACCGGAGTACGATTCACTTCAGAACAGGGTAGACAGAGAAGTTCTTTTGGGATGGTATCCACAAACTGCCAGAAAGATGGGAAAACATCGTAGCTTCCGATGGGCAATACTTTCAACATAAAACGTATGACAATTTTTTGACAATAAAGTCTTAATTTTCGAAAAACCCGCATGAATTAATGCATACACAGTCTGCTTCAATTACCGTGGGACAAGCCTTTAAAAATCACATAGCGTAGGTTTGATCACGCATATTGTGTAATAGACTAAAGCCAACCGTTAACAAACTGATTGAACCTTATCAGTGTGGCTTTAGGTCTGGTAAAACAACCATTTACCAGAAATTCACCATGCGACAAGTCGTGAAAAGAGGGTCGACACACGCCACCTCTTCGCTGATTTAAAACCGCCTTCGACAGCACGAATGGAGCTGCCATTACAACGTTATATATAAATTTAATAACCCTGCAAACCTTATACGGCTATGTAAACTGTCGTTAAGCAAGACCATAAATGCCGTGCGTTCGCTACCAAACGAGGTTTCAGACAGGATGATTCCTTATCGTATATCTTCCTTAATTTGATGCTGCAGAGAATAAAACGAGCTGAATAAGGAAGGTGCAATGTACACCTGCTGGCGTATGCCGACTCAACAACCGTGCCATGAGTTCTGCTTTCTCTAGATTTGATAAGAAAGCGAGACGAATAGGTCTAGTAGTGAACGAGGGCAAGACGAAATATCTCGTGTCATCAGAAAAACCCTCATTGCATTCACGCCTCGGCTCTCATGCCACAGTTAACAGTCATAGCTTTGAAGTTGTAGATAGTCAGTATTAAAACCAACAACAACAGCGCCGAATCACTCTTGTCAACAGGTACTACTTTGGACTGAGTAGGCAATTGAAAGTAAATTCCTCTCTCAACGAACGAAGACCAAACTCTACTCATTTCATTTCTATATCCTATTTCATATATGGTGCCGAAACGTGTACGATGTCGATCAGGCGGCCCAGGGCATCTTCGAAAGAAAGGTTTTGCTACATTGACATCGTTCATTGTACATAAATCCTGTTATAATTAGTTTCAGTAATTTGGCATGATCACTGATTTCATTTAGCAGGTCAAAAGCAATTACCCTGGGCTTGATGCAAATAATGAGCCAACATCATCAGCAACTTCTCTAGTTGTGTTTCGGCGAACGCTCCTAATAATTTCATTGACTTTTATTGTATACTTTAATATTGAATTTTATTTCCATTTTGTATATGCTACGGAGGCTATCATTGAAGGTGAGAAGCACATATGGAAAATATTACCGAAATTATTGTTATGAAGCACAATGTATAGAATGGTAGCCAAAACCCATTTAAATAAAAGCATTAATAATGTAAAAGCTATTTTACAAATCCATTAGTTTAAAGTGAGCAAAGCGGAAGAAAAAACATCAGTATGTCAAAAATAATGTTTTTAGCAGAAAATTTAACAAAAAGCTTAATTTTTTTATTAAACTAAAGTGGAGCGGTATTAGCCAAGCAGTTGGAAAAACATCAATTTTAAATATGGTCTTTAAGAATTAAAACCCTGAAAACCAAAATCCTTAAATCCTTACGACAGAACATGCACTCGACCAAAACAGCAAAGAGAACAGTGAACAAGGACAAGATGAAAGCCAATGAATGTCATCAAAGAAAAAGTCACTACTTTCCCAGCTTGGCCTTACGTCACTGTTGACAGTCATAAATTTAAAATCGTTTTTTTTTTCTTTTATCTATTAAAAGGATAAACACCATCAACATTGTCAGCATTCAAATCCTAATAGAGTCACACGCAATCGTACAAGATTACGCCATGAAGTGTGGAAGTAAACGATTTTAGTTGCCTGACCTGTTGCGAATCTGCTAGATCATAAATTTAGCCTTAAGATTCTCTGCTCATTGGCAACGAAAAACATTCTTAGCACTGGAAAGTTAAACAGGGGGACAACCCTCTCCAGTGCTTGGGATAGATCTGGCGAAGACTTGCTGTCTGTAATTAAGTTTAATCTTGCGAAATGAAGAAACGATTGGTATGCTAAAAAGTGATTAATTTGTATAACACTGTATGTTTCGTGCCTTGTGTCGAGTTTGAAGATCTGGCAAACTCTGAAAAAAGTTTCTTGCAGAACTACAAATAAAAAACTGCACACTGAAAGTCAAAATTACAAGCATTTCCATAATCATTGTGCACATGATAACTCAAGCAATGATTGAAATACTTTGATGAAATTTGCTTTCCACATTCTATGGATCTTGAGAACCCACGTCAGTGTGACTCGGTCAAATATAACAAATATCACGACTATCTCACTTGTTACGGTAATTTTGAAGAGTGCAAAAATCGAAATAATGCAATAACTACATGTTTGCAAAGAACGATTGTATTAAATATTAAAATGTAGGCGGCCAAAAATATTTTGTATATTTCAGAAACCCCCAAATATATCCTGAATTTTATAAAATTTTAAACTTTTAACTCCCAATCGGACAACAATAATGCCGTGGGTTTTGCATCACGATAATGCACACAGCACTCACTCTTCGTGACCATTTTGCTAAAAATTCTACGAATAATGTTTGCCAACCACCTTATTAGTCGGACTTGGCGCCATGTGACTTCTGGCTTTCCAAAAACTAAAGAGACCACTTCGACGACCCCGTTTTGAGTCGATTGAGGAGATTAAACGTGAATCGGCGCACTCTCTGAAGCCCACACCAGAACATGACTAGTTGACATGCTTCGATAATTGGAAAAAGCGTAGGAATAAGTGCCTACAGATAGCATGCTACATTCTAAATCCAAAAATGGCTGATATACAGTAGGTCTTGAAATATACAAAACTCTCACATAATATACAATACATACCTTCTAGTTTCAACCAATCTGTGCTTTTTGAATGGCATATTTAAAGAGTTTATGGATTACAGAACACTCTCTGAATTTAATAGAATCTCTAGAAGACTTGATCTTGATTTCGCATTCCCAAGATCTCGTATTGTCTTTATCCGCAATCCTGTTTATTCCTAGCATACAATACAGGGGCAGAAGCTTGGACGAAAAATCGCTTCAGCGATTACAAAGCACCAATAATATATTAGGTGTAGTAAAAAGTCCGCTCGTTTTTTATCTATGAGATGGCGTTATTGGCCATAGTACCAGTGTTACGTGTCGCATCATGTAATACTATACGGCGCTGAAAACTTGTTTATTCGCGCTAAATATTTGTTTTTGACAGTTTTTCGTTTGATTGACTCAGTACGTTGTGAGCGCTCGTCAAAGATAGACACCAGCAAAGAGAAAATTCGCTAAATTTTACAATTTTTCTTCGATCAAGGCCAAAAAGCAGCCAAAGTGGCTGTAAAAATTAATTTCGTTTACGGGCGCCATACTGTAAACGCACGTGTAGCACAAAAGTGATTTACTAAGTTCCGTTCCGGTAATTTC